GCCACGTTTTGACAACGTAGCCGATTCTCTCGGCCTTGTCATCCTTGACGAACCTTGCAACCAGCAATCAGATATGACTACTGTTCGGATGAGCATGATGAGCGCGTCCGTCTCCAGGCGTCCATCGCTGACCCTTGCAGTGGAGCGCGTGTCTCGCGCAGACAAGAACCCTCAAAAAATCGACGCGTTTCTGCGAACGATAGCTGCTAATCGCCAGAAGAAGCCCTCAGCCAGCGTCCAGTACATCAAGCCCATGCCCAGTATCGAAAGTCTGATGCAAGAGTGGCCACCGGAATTCGAACAGTTGACCAACACGGTCAGCTTGCCGTCTGCCGATTTGGACGTCCCTCTGAAAAACTACATCGACATTATCTGTGCGCTACTGGATATTCCGGTATACAAGTCGTACATTAAGTCTCTACATGTTTTGTTCTCTTTGTACCTGGAGTTTAAGAACAGCAGCTACTTCAGGAAGATGAAAATGGACAAATTCAGTCCGACTGCCAGCGCCGAAGGTAAACAAGAACTGGTTGACAGTGGTCAGTTTGACACGCTCATATTGTGAAATGATCATCCGTAAAATATTTGTTGCATTGCATTCGTTTTGAAGTACTGATTTCTTTCAGTAGGTGTAGTCATCGTTTTTTTCATAGTTGCACAGCTCTGGATTCGTTAACCCATTTCTAATGAATTTTTCTCTTCACTGAAGTGCATGTCGTTTCGATCAATTAAACCTGAGTTAAGTGTGGCCTCAGTCCAAGCTGGTCATCTACTGAACATCTTGATTCGTATGCAGTAGGTTTTCATTCTGTACTGGCAGTGTTCAGTTCTTAATATTTTCACTCCTTCCAAAGCTTAGATAAAATACCAGGCAATAATGTTAAGCTTTTCTTCTATGTAGTGTTAATGCGCTATGAATATATGGTGTGCAGGAAATGTATCACAGTTGGTACATTTATACCGTAACAATACTACGGTATATATTACATTATTCTATTGTACTTCGCCGCTACATATAATGGGTATCAAACGCTTCATTACACATGGCTTGTTGTATATAAAAACTTTTCAGACACTATATAGCACAGTATGTGAGATCTGTGAGCCATCACCCTCCTTTTCACACAGTAGACTACACGATAGCAAGTTCTCGATCAATCATATTTGTTTGTAACCAGCCTTATGTTAGTTAAGCAGAGAGATAGCACAGAGAAGAACATAGTAACGCTCATATTATGCATACGCTAATATGCTATATGGTATATAGCATGCAGCTCCGACTCTGCGATTTCAAAGGTTGACCGGCCATTTGCGGATAGTACAATCACCAGTCGAACTCTCCGGCTACAGGTGTTTTATTTTGCATTAGCCACGTGGCCTCAGTTTCTAGCGTGTCTGGTGAAATTTCGGTGACGTGTTCTTATCGATACCGAATTTGCAATTTTGGCCTTGGTGCCACATTACTTTTCGAGGCTGCAAGGAAACAAAAAGAAACGGAATCCTACATCTATTTTTGTCGAAGAAAAGAATCTCGTAACCGCAAAAACGCAGAGGAATACAGACATGTGCAAATCTTTAACACGTTTTCACACCGCTGCCTACTATAAGGTTCGGAGTTCAAATATCTGAGAACTTGGTGTGCATCCGCTGCTCCTGACTAATTTGTCACAGCTGTAACGATATTGCTTCGTATTGTGAACGTTTCCAGAAAGGAAAGCGAAATAGCCAGCTACTACTTGCTCAGACGACCGACCGAAGACCGAGGGGACTGTCAAAAATGAATCGCGGTAAGTGTCTTTACGTACTGTCCTCCATATTCAGGTTCTCTAATGCCGAAACTGAAACGCAGAGATAGAGTCGAGAACATTCGAGAATCTTTAACGGGACTGCCGCAGCGGCCGGAAAAGATAGGCGGTCATCAAAACTGACGACAACTTACTGTAAGCGGGAGAGTTCAGTTACCATACGATTAATATGAACGATGACGTTAAAGTCAGCCGAAGGCTTGTTGTTTGAGTATCTTTCTCCTCAGACTGCATTGAAAGATAAGCACTTTGCTAACGCCGTCACAGCCATGTTACCCGCCCGCCGTTTGGCTCATGGTAAGTTAAGTCTCCAAAAGTGCCAACGTGGTTCAGCAATATATAATCTACTGAAATTCTCCATTTAGTAGAATCGCGTACTTTGGTAGTTCCGGCTCTCCGCCATTTGAATATCGTGGTTGGATAATGGGGAGTAGAGTTATAATGTGTATTGTATATAATATTCGAAATCACACAGTACACGAAATGATTTTTATATTCTATACTGTGTACTATGTAAAAGCTTCCAAAGATGAAGTTACTTTGTTACATATAGACTGTTACCTCATGTACGAACTTGTTTGTTGTTGAAGTAACTTGCTTATGTCCTATTCTGTTGAAAATTGAGATTGATCGCCTCAGCTTCATGGCTATTTACTCTTGAACACATTCCTTAAATATTTTTGAATTTTCTAAATATGATGCAGATATTACGGTTTGACAACACGTGGGCTTCGGGAGAACAAGTCCTATTGCAATGGTTTCGAGCACCTTCGATAGAGTCTTGTTAGAAGCCTTTTTGATTTAGAGCACCATAAAAAATAATGAATTGGAACTGCGGGCTAAAAATGACAAAAACATGAATTATTCGACGCACAAGACTTGCAAGGACAAAGCCATTCTGATCCGATGTTTGGACCTCAGAACCATTGTTAATGCCAGTTGAATATGATGAGTATTATATAGTAGATGGCTAAACCCATGCTTCTCGCCTGGAACTAATATTGGCATACCGTCGGACTGCTGACCTTGATTTATAAGTGTAAAGGAATCGATAGGTTTCATTATCTGGCTAATGAAAACTGGAAACTGCTAAAGAAATTTGGTTTCATCTACATAGGCATTTGTAGTGTGTAAATATTTCAAGTAAACGTTTTCCAACGTTGATTCAAATAATCGGTGCTTTAGCTTTTATTTTCTTACACGTCAGTATAGCAACGGATAAAAAAGCTGGTCCAGTTCAAAGGAAACAGGCAAGGTTGTGCATCATGGTGCGAATTCAAACGGCAGATGCTATCATCCATTCAGAGTTAATGATTATGTAAATGCAAGTTTGACCAATTCAATACGGCGGTTTTCGCCTATTGGTCAAGCGCCGTGAAAGGTATTTTCATTACATTACATCGCATCAGGCATCGTTTACGGGACTTTTACCTAAATCATTTTATTTATTCAGATAAAAAACGGCTTGGCATGAAACTGTGCTTTGTTTGGGTAATTAATTATATTAATTTTCTTTCAAGAAAGTTTCAAGCAATCTACATTTTCTAAGAATAATATTTGGTATTAATATTGTTGGTGCCTCCCCCCCCCACATACACACTTTTCCGCTCAGATTTACGATCAAAATGCGTCCTTCTGGACAGAGCTGCCTCAAAATGCACAATATGTTCCGTCGATACCGGCCATTATTATCCTGTGAACTCGCCTGTGTCTATCTGTGACGCAGTGGCTCTCGCTGTTCAGGCTTATTTACCAAAAACAGCCTTTCAATGGATTGTCACGTCCTGTCGAACAAACTCCAGTTTAATTTCTCAATATGCAATCCGTTATTTATACGTGAAACTTTTTCTTCGTGCTTCCATGGCCAGTTGTGACAAAGCCAAGTCATTCTGTACTTTTACGCTGATGGTAAATTTTGGGTTACCAGTCTGTGAACTAATTAGGGCCGATGAATCAGTTGTAAAGCAGATGTTTGTATAAAGACCAGACCGAACAGCGAATTCTGTGAAAGAGGCGTCTCATTCATCTGGACCCTTAGGGAAGCTCGATTTCGTAACGTAAACAATCACCTATTTTCGCCGCTGAAAGGAATGCTCGAAATTCGGTCAACGTCTGTAACCGGGTTGCTGGTAAAGTTTTTCGTTGTAATTTTGCAAACTGGCCTGTTAATCCGCCTCCGCAAACGTTTCTTTAGGAATGACGAACGGGTATAACAAAGCGTGCGGAATCGATCTTGGCGTTAACTAATGGTAAGTCAAACGTTTGTTTGAGGTAGGTTGCACTCTTTCGCATTACACCCAGTTAAGATTACCATGTTTAACAGGAAATGTACTGAAGATTATCCAGCGGTCGGTACTCTACCTCCAGAGACATACATTCGCACATGGCCCAAATATTCTCTGAAGCGTTCATCAGAATAAGAAAAAACAAAAATCAACTGGTTCACCAGCTGACAGAAGAGATCTGGAGTCAGGAGGCCATAAAAATCGTTGTCAGCTGGTTTGCTAGATCAAACCCTGGACAAACAGCGTCTGGGGGCTGCATATAGTTCCCCACCTGCTGTGATATGTTTTTGCATGTGAAAATGAGGGGCTACTCTGATCGTTTCAACGATAAAAAATAATCACCTTATCCTTTTAATGGTAATTCATCGAAATCTATAGATGTGGCTCAGAATATGCATGAATCGTTTTCTGCATGACGTTGCCAATTTGGATACAGTTTTTAGTGAATCTCTTAAGCGGTTAGGTATAATCAGATGCGAGTTTTACTCAAGTTCATCTCCATTCCATGGTAGAATCACGATGATCTGGCATCACCTTTATTAAATGAATGTACAAGAGCGACATTTCTAACTCAGTATCCCAAAAATGAACTTAGGATGCGACTTGACCCCTTAAGAAAGGCAAACGTTTCTAAGCTACTGAGGAAACTCACGATGACCTCGTCATCATAAACGATTGTTCGGACAAGACCGATTTCAAAGACTGTCATGTCGACGTCCCATCTCAGCAATAGAGAAAGCAATGAGGTCCCTTAGTGTAATATTATGTGGCGCCAGATTAACACGAACAGCAACCTAACTGTCTTGGCATGAATACCGACAGGACCATCTCCTCGAAAGAACACCTGTCAAGTTCAGACAAAAACCAAATCACGGGTCACCATCATACGTATATGCGATAGTACCAGTTCAGGTACAGAAGCCAGTGCCCTACCTTACTCAGGCCTAGGCCTTGCTTTTTCGGCTGTATACACAGTATACACCCAGATCAGTTCATTGATGCAGTAACCACAATAACGATGAAGGTTACGGGTTCAACGTGGCTTGCTGTCCTTATGAAAATTTACTCTTCGCATTTTGAAACGAATCACGATTTTTTGCAGGTGAGATGAGGAAAGCCGTTGAGAAATGTTTTACAAAACCATTATACACTGAGTCGACGACATAAAAAAAAACCAAGGAATATAACAACCTTTCCCCCTTGAGCATCCAACCTCGATTACATCATCCGTCTACTTCATTGTCGCCCGCCTTGGATACAGAGTCCTATAATTGGTTTCTAAAGAAGACTAATAATAAACATCTTGCAACATTAGTCTGTTGCATCCTCACTATCCTGCGTTGTTATAATATAAAAGGAATATTGTGGAATGCCCTACTAGAACAAAATAGATATTGATAGGGTTTTTCACATGCGTAATGTAAACGTCCTTTTTAACCCAGTTAACGGGTTATAATACTTTCGATATGAAATCTTTGGATTTCATCGTTACAGTAACAGTTTAGCATTGCTGGCTAGTCCTTGAATCGGGACGAAATCCAGTTGACGAAATCTTGCAAATGAGAATGTTCATCTTTGTCAAACTCTTCTTCAAATCCAACTATTCGACACACTAAAAGTAAGAACGATTCTTTTATTTAGCATTAATCGTATATTAAGTCGTTGTGATAAAACCAAGGTTGTTGTTGGTACCTTCTCAAACCGATCTCCAGCACGCTCTAAAAATATTCTCGTCTGATTACGATGTAGTTAGCATGCGTGTGAAAGTGTCTAAAACGAAAAGCTCAGTGTTTTTTCGTTCTGTCTTTTATTCTCATTAGATTAACAGAGAAACAGTGGAGCAGTTGAAGAAGTTTAAGTACCGCAGGGTCGTGTTTACTGGTAATGGAAAATTTGGGAATAGGATCAACCCGACGGATTGGGATAGTCGGTGGCGTTCTGCATTAACCATTGGACTAAATCAGAGCTGGGTCTAAAGACTCTGAAGCTTTCGGTGTTCAAGTCGATCATCATTTCCAACCCGCGTACAAGCGGCTGAAATGGGCTTTATGAAACGAGTCGCTAGCCTTATGCGCCTCGACATGGTCCGGAGTACAGATATCCAGGATGGCCTTGGTGTACAGTCGCTGCTTCTTCAGACTGAGATTGAGAGGTCATGGCTGCAACGGTTTGATCACGTGTTGCGAAAGACTACAGGAACGAAGGCGACACATCTACCAGTCGCTCAAACGACCATCCGAAGACCCAGGGGACAGCCAAGAATAAGCTGAAGTAAGTGTATCGACATATTCTGCTCCAGATTGGGGCTATTTTCTGTCGAAGCTCAAACACTGGCGCAGGATCGGAAACGTTGAAGATATTGCCTGACGAGCCTGCCTTCGTGACCTGGCAGGCGGTCTTCGAAAATGACTCACTCGCAATTTTCTCATTACTCACAGAAAAAAGAAAATTTTGTAATCATTGGAATATCGATCGTCCTTATATTTCCATGATGGGTTAACTCTGGCGCCATCCATTTAATTTAGTTAATACCGGGGCGCTGATTTCCATTTTCACGTCTACAACCAGAAATGCCTTGTTCTTCATAAAGCCTGTCTACAGCAGTGAAGCATAGTGCGGGGTCGCCTGTATCATTCCATGCAAGGTTGCACTTCTTTATTGGAAGGAGTAAAGATGAGTCATCCGACCAGAGCTCGAACCCGGGATCTCTGGACTTGAAGTCTGAAGCACTACCGCCTGAGCAA